AGGGAGACCCATTCAAGTCTGGAAAACCATTTTGTAAAAAATTATACAGTTTGTCCATAAAGTCTCTTTGGGGTTTTGAAAAATTGTGGCGGACAAACATATTGAGCTAGCCATATGCGGTTTGCAGCAGATCACAGTGAAAATCTTTTTGCCGCCAAAAGATCGCATAGGCGGCCATCTTTACATTTCTCAGTCAGTTCTTTGTGAAATGGCGACTATACAGGAACGTGCACGTTCTGTAGGATGGCTTTTTGACAGAAGATCAGTCACCCAGACTCAAAGAAATTACCGCACACAGTTCAATAAGCTAGCCCTGAGTGACAAAGCAATAAGAGACTGGGAACGTTTCCTAGAAACTGAGCATGTCCATGATTGCCAGAGAACTGGCAGACCAGGTGTAAGCGATGAACGTGTGGAAAGAATCCGTGAATCGTTTGTACGAAGCTGTACATTACAAATTACTTTACTAATCATAAACAAAAGCAAACTTTCCCAGCTTCAGAAAAAGATGTTATGTGCACACTGTACGAGTACTAAAGGGATGAAGGAATAAACAGGATTGTGTGCAAGTGCCCCTCTATAAAGTGGCCATTGAGTAATTTAAAAAAATTATAGCTTTCACAAACAAAATGCCAAGAAATCATAGGTACTTTCATGACTTTTGAGGTGGACCTGTACACTGTACAGGGACAGGAAAGGAGCTGGCTGCATGAAACAAGAAGAGCTTCTGTCATTTACATTACAAGCCGCAGCCACTACTTTGCTTCAAGATGCAACGACTAGAAACATTCTATCAGCATTTGCTATTACTGGAATCTGTCCATTCAATCGCAAAGCCACTGAAGATTCAGATTATGCCCCTTGTGACATGACAGAACAAACATAAAATTTCAGAGGGGCTGCTGCATTCCATTTCCTGCTATACAGTTCTCTAAAATAGTTGTGGGAATAATTCCATCCAAAAGCAAACCCACGGACATAACTGATGCGATTTCAAGAAACTTCAAGGGTGGAGCTAAAAGGAAATGAAGGTTATCCCCAAAGGCTTCTCTATGAAGACCCCCGTCAATAGTCTACGTTCATCCAGAACTATCAAAGGTGGCAGTAAAGCACTGCTTAGGAAAGTGACACATTTTCACTGGCAGAACATGGCATCTAACTTCAGAATCTCAAACTGAAGAAATTTCTCATGCCATTTGTATCTTCATCACTGTTGGAAGTTAATTTAGAGAAATCTTTAATAAGAAAAAGCGATTCATATTCGTAAGTTCTCAATTTTCAATAATCATCAGAACAGAGTCTTGCCTACCACAGCTTTGGCTTCTAAGAAATTTTTCCTCAACCTTTCCAAACATGATCTCACATACTCTGGGAGAGCAGTCCTTCTGAAAGGTTTGAATTTCTTGGTAACAAATCTACACTCCAACCTGGATACGGCATGTGCTGTGGAATTCATTGTATACAAGCTTCCACACTATGGGCATCGAATTCAGGTGGAGTTCAAACCCATGTTTGGAAGTCTTACAGGCCTAACATGACTAAAAAGGAGATGAAAGTCGTGAAATCTTCGAGGCTTGACAAAGATATTAGGATTCTTCAGGCAGACAGAGGCAACTGCATGGTGGTGTTGAATGAATGCAACTACAAGAAACTCTTGACACTCACACCAGTCATATACAGAGGGGCCCAACAAAAGTATACTCACTTTAAAGTACAAAATATTTGCTTGAATAATTTATCGGTAATCTAAATTTGATACACAAACACAGTGGTGACATATGTTGAACCAGAACAAGTGTTCAAAGCGCCCACAATTAGCGTGTAGACAGTTCTGAGTTCGGCAGACTAATGCAAGAGCAACTGTGGCCAAGGCATCCACTGGGATAGCAGCACAGGTCATCCAAACCAGGCCCTCAGTACAACAGCTTGTCTGTAGACAATATGTTCAGAGTAGCAATTCCACTACAGTAGTGGAGTAGAATCGAAACATGTAAGGTGAATAAAGACTGAAGTGTTGTAAACTTGTATGTCACACTGGACTGAAAATTATCCACTTTGTAATTAATAGTGTGACAGACCAGAATGAGACAAATCACACTACAGTAGATTATGACAGAGCCCTTCGGGGCCGTGTCACAAGGAAAAAAAAAATAGCGGCATAAGAAACCGTGTCTTAAGCCTAACAAAGCAAAATGGCCACTACAGACCACAGGCCCCTCATAGTCCTACCATTTAATGCTAATGACACTGGGAGACAACACTTACATATACAAGCACATGTGGCCCTGCTCTCAGACACACACCTGAAACCCCATGAGATTCATTATTACAAATTATCACATTTAACAGGCTAATTGCTTTCTGGGCAGAAAATGCAGAATTGCTGTTGCAGTCAGAAAAGAAATTCTCCACAACCATGAGGACCTATCTCCCCTTGTTTCAGCAGAAGCTACAGGCATCTGCATGTCGATTTGTAATTGTGAAGTATTAATTGCAGCTGTTCATAAATTTCCCGGTCATGCAGGAGTGATATCGCGGTTCCTTTCGAAATGTTTGAAATAATGTAATTACTACTTTACTGAATTACTTGAAACTTAATGTTATGTATAATACAAAGCAGATCATTAAACTATATCTTAAGCTGGCAATGTGATGTTTCTGTGGAAATTTCGAGATGTCAAGGCGCCAGTCTGTCACCTCCACAACAGCTCTGTACAGCCACAAGTTTTCGAACTCAAAATTTCAAAGCGACATGTTCCAAGCTGAATGCTTTGCTCATGTTGAAAAGGGTTTTTTTAAGTGCCAGTCAACCAAATTTGCATTAAGACAATTATGACGTAGTTGCTCAGTTGAGAGAATTGTATTTCTTTTAAATCGGTGCGTTCTTTTGTTCCTAGTGATGTTTTCCAAAATGCTATAGCATCATCTCCTGGTGAAGTAATGAAAGTGAAGTGCATAATTTAATACTGCAATTAAGTGAAAATTTTATAAGAATCTATTTCAACTGCAAGATCCAGAAGAACGAATTTTTCAACAATACGTGTATGAACTGTGAATTGTGTTGTGTTTAGAGATACTTTGTTAAGTGTTTTGTGGTATTTCCTAGGGGTGAATAAAACAATCTCAGCACCACTTTTGCTGGTAGTTCTGGCTGTAAACACCCTTGAGATTCTCATGCTAGTCCGTCCATACAGATCTCTTTTTACCTGTCGTTAATTACATTTATGACTGGCTCCAACTCATTTAATTAATTTCATTTAACAACAATCCTAAGAATTCTGAAGGGAGAAATGAATGAAACGTGAGAGGTTCGGCTACTATGATGATATCGCCAAGCTCTTAAGCTTTAACATAAATCCTTATTGGCAGGTGACCTGAATGCTAAATACCCAGTATGGAATAGCAGTTTCAAATCCTTGGAACTACTGAACTTATTTGACATGAAACACTTAAAATTCTGGTAGAAATTCTCAACAATGTGCCACTGTCTTGCAGGTATCAGCAAGGGGTCTGAATGTTCAACAGCAGTGCTACTTCCTGCACAGATTGCACGATACTAAAAGTGGAAAATGATTCCAGAAATCTGTGTCAGACAATGCACGAGAAGGAAATTACCATAGTTGTCTACGAAGGTGTTCGATTTTACATATCAAGACCAGGCTCTAATCCCGACATCTTGAATGTTTTAATGTCAGCAGCACCAGAGAGGCTATGTCACATTCAATATTTTGTCTACCTGTCTCCCAGTTTCAGTCACATGCCAGAGATGTCAGCTGATGCAGCAAACCTGCTATGTTCAAAACCGTCTGGCAAAGCTGTCGATATATTTTTAAGAACTGCTGGACAGTCAGACCAAGTCAGAAGGGCCTGCCACAAGCCTTACACAATAGGAGACTTGGAACGAAGAAATGAGAAATACGGGTTAGGGTGAGGGGTGATATGACAATATTAGTTTGGAAAGGCAAATGAGACTCACATATGCTGACTAACACGGACACTCCTCCAACAGAAGGCAATTTCTGTGATGAATACATAACTGCCATAAAGCCTGCAACTGTCGCAGATTACAACACACACATGGGATATGTTGACAAAGCACACAGGATGACAGTCATTCCATCAGTCGTCACCTCAAAATGGACGAACAAACTGTTCTTCCATTTACTGGTTCTGATAATTCATCCTGCTGTCATCCTCTGGTGTGAAACTGTCACATAGACTTCTGTCTAGCCCTTGTGCACAACATGCTGGAATACGCTACATGTCATCACTGCCCCCATCGGGCCTGTAGGTTGACCTCCTGCTCTGTCATCGTCTAGAAGCCAATCGACATCACTGGCCAACCTATTCAGCCAAAAGATGAACTGCAGCATTTGTTCTGCACATGGGAAGATGAGAAGTAACCACACAAAGTGCGAGAAATGTGATGGGGGACTGCAATTTCTCGGGTACTTCGAGGAATACCATACAAAGGCGAAATTCAGTTGCATGACGCTGGGGGGGAGGTTGAAGCCGGTATATACATGAAGCAGATAATCGCCACCCCCCAAACGGTATGTACATTGAATTTTACTATTAAAAATAAATATTTAGGACTGTGCTTATGCTTTTACTAATGGCGTGCGCGTGTGCTTCCATTGGTGGAGTTTAAATGCCTGAATGCACAAATGGGGTATTTTAGCTGCAATGTTCATTCTCTTCAGTGTACAGATCAGTGTATTTCGGATGTTAAATGTTAAGAAGCAATTTCACTTTCCAGTCATATGCAAGAACAACATTCTTAGCCCAAGGTGAGACTATTATTTTTTTTATTGCTAGTGGGGTGGGACTAAGTCCCTTGTACTGCGGCCACTTCTGGCCTATTGTACCAGCCCCAGATGATAGGTCAGGGTGATTGTGGAGCAATTGGTGGAATGAAGATTGGCAGGGGAAACCGAAGTACTCGGAGAAAACCTGCCCCAGCGCCACTTTGTCCACCACAAATCCCACATGATCACACCCAGGATCGAACCCGCAAGGTGAGACTAAGTCAAGACTTTGGAAATATTTCAAGCACTGAGAAGAGAAAAAAAAAAACATCTACTAGAACAACTTTTTCATTCTAATCTCAATTTAAACTTTCTTTTGAAATGTAACTGTGTTCAGGTCATGGTGAACTGCTGAATATGCACGTTAGGAAATGTACTCATAAGAAATGTTTCGTTTAATATCAGAACCTGTAACATGCGAAAAATGTGTCCATTTTCCTTTCACGCCTTTTCAAAACATTTACCCTTTCAATATATACTGTATACAATATGCAGAAACAATATATAAGTCCTCACGTGAAACTGTCTCTGATATATGTGAAAACTGAACCTTCTTCAATATGAAGTTCCATAAAAATCGGTTTAGTGGCTCTATGCTTCTTGCATGTGGATGGACCAGAAAGAAAATATGCATGCTGCACGATTCCAAACATACCTAGAAAAATGGTTAGGAAAGTTATTTGGACTGAAATCCGTGCATGTAAGAGCAATATTAACAATTTCCCAGAGTTCTCCCTCCAAAAGGATAAAGCTGCTGTACTTACCATTAATATCTAGGATTCGTGCTGTCTGGGTAAACAATGTCTGTGGGTGGCAGCCAGAGATGGACATGTACAGTTATATATATATATATATACATGCATGGGGTTTTAAGAATGACAGAGTAACAGCTTACAGCTGTTCAGCAATGGAGTAATATGCAAAAATACAGGTTGAAACGAAATTTGTGCACAAGCTGTCCAGTGCGATTTCTTGTTAGATAATGAGTACAAAGGTTATACAAAATACGTCCTGATAAGCTTAGTTTTCATGATACCTGTTAACAACTGAATTTGTAACCATACTACTTAGAAGTTGTCATGATACACAGCGCGCTATTGGGTGCACTCAAGATGCAGCGCACATTGGGCCAGCCGATATCAAATGATCATGGAATACATACACAATGAATATTGTGCCACGTTCTTAACCCTAGGTACCTGTAATAGTTAAGTTGGTACTGCTTCCTGGTAATATGTGCTATGTTATTTTGGTTGATGTCATCTGGGTGCTAAACGTCTTCCCACAATTGGAGCAGGGTCTCGGTGAGAAAGGAAATGTAACACCTTCGGCACATGTGAACGCAAGTCACTCACAGATTGTATGGGCAACCAGCCAATAAAGATGCCGTAATTGCAGCTGTGGGACAAGAGACACAGCATATAACACAAGAACTGGTATTATCACAACTGAGGGTCCTTGAAGAACTTCATGACCTGTTTCTGGATGTTTCCCCTTCAGATGTAATTCTGCAAATGGCTATATCAACCTACTGCAGATGAGCTCTTTTCATGTAACATTCTGTGGATAGATGAAGCATATTTTATGCACAAGGGCGCATTAAACATCTACAACAGTCATGGGATGATCCTAGAGCCATTAGTGAACGTATCATGTCCACTTCAGCATCAGTATTTGTAATAATTGCGTACCTGCTAACTGACAGGCCGATTCCTTAATGATAGTGATTTGCTGGAAACTGTTCTCTTGGGGCTACTTAAGTTGTGCTTCTAGCTGTAAGGCAGAGTTGTAGTTTCAGCACGATACAGCTCCAGTTTCCCATGAGGAAGATGTCCATATCCAGGAAGGTGGACTGATGTTGAGGGCCAATTGCATTACCTCCCTGTTCACTGGCTGGAACTGATGCATTTTTACCCATGGGGACACCTGAAGGAGCACATTTACAAAGTCCCTCCCAAGACCATGAAAGATCTTATGGCAAGGCTTCAAACATGTATGACCATGGTAAAAGGTAAAGCAATCCTTGTAATAGGATGTGGACACTCACAGGGTTGAGACACTGAAGTTCACCTCGGCCCATTGATGGCAGTAGGATTGCCAGCCTTACACCCTGGCAGCCATTTACCCCCAGGAAGATTCCTAGTACTCATTTCCGTTAGATACTTAGTAGACCCCAAGGCAATAGTGCGGCTGGAAGGACTGGATCAATTGAAAAATCAAATTACCTCACTGGGCTTCCAGCTTGTGGCATAGTGCCTCAACCAGCTACGGTAACGTGTGCCCCCACAGTATGACAATAGTCGATACAAACATGTTAAGGCATGTTCAAAAGAATGTTGCGTGATGCACTGATGTCTGCCCTGAAAGGGACACATGCCACTTCAAGCACCTATCGTAACTACAAGATGTTTATCATTTGATCATTTGATAGCATATGCCATTTGAAGGTGACGTGCATCTTGAACTCTGAATATCACAGGACATTGTACAATACTCTGACGTGTTCCTTTAATGAGGAATCACATTATGGACAGCTTTCGCACAAATTTTGTTTCAGCTTGGAAAAATGCAAGTTCACCAAAAGAATCAGTGCCACCTACAGCCAGTAACCAGAAGTTCTTTCTGCATTGCATGCAATACAGTGGTCATGCTTTTTCTGAGTAATACACAGTTTGTCCCATTTATCCTGATAACTTGAAATAACTTCCATATTTAGTATCAAATAAAATAAATGTTTCACACAAAGGTTATTTGGTGTCGAAGCAGACACCACACTGTATACACTTTGTTTACAACAATTTTTTGGTAGTGAGATGTTTAGGCCATTAGCACCTTTTTAAATGACACTATATATTCCGTTTGACAAACTCAAAACTATTATCACAAAGTACTATTCTGATAATAGAATGCAACAATATGCAACATAAATCAAATATCTGAAATATTGATCTGAATGAATCACTTGGTATATTGAGCAAATAAAAGGATTTACAAAAAGTGCTCTCAGCATTTATTACTGAGTGAGTGTTAAGTTACAATCAGCTGAACGACTGCCTTGAACATTCATGGTAGCATACTAATCAATAACATTGTCACATAATTTCTGGTGTAGTCATATCCTGGTACACAATGCCATTTAGAGTTCTGCACTAAAAACAGAAATCCAGTGGTGTGTAGTCAGGATAATGAGCGGGCCCCATCATTTGCCAATGTAGCTTCATGACAGAAAGAAAAATAACACTTTTGAAAAATGCCTAATTGGTCTACAACTGTAGACTGTGTTCACATTATTCTTAAAAAAGTTGCCACGTGTTTCCTAATTCTTACTGCGCAAAAAATTCCACATGTATTGAAAACTGTGTCTTACAAGGCTGTGAAAATTGTAACTCCTGATTTCAAGAAATCTCAGTGCGCTGTGATAAAATGTGCAGCAGTTATACAGTGCTGCTACTGCTACACATGACGGTTTGATAATTATTGCGAGGCAAGAATTTTGGTTTGTGCATTTTCAGATAATCTGTTACTCTGTGCTGATCACACATTTAAGCTTTCACTATATTTCCATGACAATGCGTGGCTCCAGACATTAGCATATCTAGTAGACATACAAAATGAACTAAAATTTATCATTAAAATGTACATTATTACAACTGGCTCAGCAAGTGAAAAATCTGATCTTTCTTAGACAAAATAGAGTTTTGTGGCCACGTGTTAAAAAAAGTTGAATATTGTTAACTGGCATTCAAACCTGTTGTATGTTTTCAACTGTTACGAAACTTGTTTATGTTCCCTCTCGCACAGCACAAATTTTAAGAGAATGAGGAACTGACATTTTAACAGAGATGGCTTTCAAAGATACATACACTATTGTTCTTGTGATTAACTTTAGACTGGTTTAAAGAAAGAGTTTCTGCAAATCTGAAGTGCAGCTATGAAGAAAGCAGTCTTCTGGGATGTGGCGTCGTGCAGTTATTGTGTTAACCGACGGTTTGGCAGAATGTACTGCCTCCATCTTCAGGGTATAAGAAATCCATGAGCAATGAACCAAGGTGAGCAAGTGGCTGGTCCCTCCAAAACGTTGGTTAACACAATTTCTATACAGCGCCACATCCTAGAAGAAGCTACTTCTATTTCCATCTACATGCCTGTGTCAACCAGTTGTCAAGATATGCAGGCACAAAAATGAAATATCAAAACATAAATATTGCAAAACATTACATGAGGATAAAAACTGTACCTGACTGTATGCCACTTCTGGCCAGCTAGCATATCCACCCATTCCTAAAATATTGGGTAGATTTAACGTTATTCCTAAAATATTGGGTAGATTTAACGTCAACTTCCCAGTTGTAAATTAAAAACATATGTTATAAAAAAATTGTTGTATGTTCCAAAGGTTTTTCGAAAATATTTTATTAACAAAAGGGTGTGCAGCAAAATTTTGAAAACCTATGGAACATACATAAGGCTATGTGTTGGACAGCTGTGGAATCAGGATTTGATTCTGGACAAAAGCAAGAGATTTCTCTCTTCTCCGAAATGTCCAGACTTATTCCGGGGGCCCGCTCAGTCTCCCATTCAGTGGGTAGCAGATGCAGCCAAGGAATGAAGCTAACTGTTCATGAAGTTACAAATGTATGAAGCTGTATGTCCACTGCTTCGTACGTTTTACTTTTAAAACCAAACCTTGTAGTAGGATTTTTCAAAGCTGTCTGATTATGGTAAATTAATGCAAAATGATATCTATATACAGTGAATAAACTCCTTTGTAGATCTGGTATGACCATCTCTTTTTTCTACCTATGAAGCTAAATTTTAGGTATTACTTTTTCAATTCTGTTACCATATGCTTGTGGATTTATAACTACACTGTTACTGTCTATTATTTGGCTAAGTATTATATTTTGGTTTGATTTCTTATTAATTAGGCTACCATACATTGCAGTGCAATTACTATAATGAGCCCAGAGTTCCTACCTAAGACAATAAGACACTGCATGCACCTTGCTCCATCCTCTCAACTGCTCCACCATAGCAATGCTGGCAAATAGTACACTGACACCAACACTCAAAGCAGGGTGTTCATGTTCATTTCATTGCAAACAAAAGACATATGAATAACATCTGGAATGAATTAATAGATAATGACCACTGTACCTACTTACCTACAGCAGAGTTAACAGCAACTCCAAAAGGCATGAAACTGCATCTCCTCTTCCATCCAAGAAGCAATGTATGTAACACAACAAAAATCCCTCAATAGGACCTCTTGTTGAGTAGAAAGCTGCTTTAAAAGTGTTCTCACCCTGATTGTTCTACTGGGTTTCAGTGGGATGTCAAGATGTTGCCATGAAGCCTCTGCTGACACGTGGTGCCCTTACCATGACCTGTTCCGTTGTCAATATTGCAGGTGTACATCATGGTTAGTTGCTGCTCCAGCAGTACTGGCACTCACTCTTAATTATCTGCAAAATTATGGACCACAGAATTCACACAATGCAGTTCACTAACTCCCTGCAACAGAGCCCTCCTTGACATGCTCTACTACAGCAAAAAATTTCCCTGCATTTTATGTTGGTACATCTGCAAATACCCAAGAATGGTCCCTATTCTGGGCTCGATCAATCCTATTTTAAAGTACATTTTAATATTCACTTCTCTATGGACTCATTTCCTACAAGTCTTCCTACTAAGATCATTACATCCATGCATGTCACATCCCCCACATATTTCATCATCCGGATATTTAGTGAAACATCATTTACAACTGTGAATATCATGACATTTTCTTCAAATTCATATTTCTCTCCACAGAAGAGGGCCAGCGATTTCTGCCAATGTCTAGACCTACTCTGGGGTCACTTTGGTCTCCAACCCAGTGGGTGCCGATGGTTCTTTCCCTAGGCATAAATTGGCCTGGATGTGAAGCTTACCACTTATGCCAACCTAGTGCAGAAGATGAGAATGCAGGGAGTTACACCTCCGCTAAGTCATAAGAAGTGCTATCGGAAAGTTCCCAGACTAGGTCAAAAGAGAAATCCTGGCTTCACTTAATTTTGGCTGCCATTTCATTCAAAATAGTCTCCTTGGGAAGTACACAGAGATCACATCATTTTTCCACGTTTCAGAAGCACTGTGGAAGTCATGTTGTGATTGCGCCAAAGTTCTGGTCTTTTTCACTGTACATTTTCTCTCAAGCATCTCAAAAGACAGAGTTGACCATAGTGTTAGTAGGAACAAATTCCCGGTGAACAATCCCCTTCATGTCAAAATAACAATGAGCATGCTCTTTGTTGAACTCTGGATCTGCCGCACGTTTTTGTTCTTGGTGATTGGGGGCTCTTCCACTGCGATGATCACTGCCTTGTTTCTGGATCATAACCGTAAATCCAACTCTCATCACCCTTCATGATCCTAGAGATACAAGCTGCTGTTTGATCATTTGTCAAGAGACGGGCAACAAACTTCGTGGCAATGCTGCGCATGTTCAAATTTTCTGTTAAGATCTCCTGGCAAACTCAATAACTGATCCCAACAATGTCTGCAAGCTCATGGATTGTTTAGCAACAGTCTTCGTGGGTGAGTTCTTGAATTTTACAACCTTTAGAATAAAAGTTCTCCTGTGTCTATCTTGTCTATCAGATTTTAGTATGAATAAGATAATCTCAATCTTAACTTGGATTTTGTATACAAAGTTAAAAACTCTTAAAGAGTACAAATGACATGTTATCCTGAATCTAGCCTGGACTTTAAATTCAGATGGTTTACTACCTAACTATACAAACATCTCGAGGACTCTGCTCTTAACACAAGGAACACACAAACAGTGCCAGATTTCACACTACAAAGTCGCAGGCCAAGACCAAGGGTCAACAACCATCTTCAGGCTACAGGGAACCGGGAGTTCATAAAGATTATTATGAAAGGGACCGTCTAGGATATGGTTCCTTTCTTAAGGAAGGAATAACACTCAAATTACTGACCTTTAATTAATGACTGGTCATCACAGGCCCATATTTTGTTCCTCAGCACATATGCAGAAGCCCCCTACCCCTACGTTAGATACTGGAACTACTCGGAACAATCTCTCATAAACACTTATAAAAAACCATAAGCATGCAGGTGTTTAATCATTGCCACATGACATAATTAATAAACACCAGCCAATGTATCTGGCAGGAGTCAGGATAGGGTAGTCAGTATGGCAACTGGTTACGGGCTGGATAACTGAGAGGTTGGAATTCCGAGTCCTGGTAGGGTCAAGAATTTTCTTTTCTCCACATTCTCCAGACTAGCTCTGGGGCCCACCCAGCCTCCTATCCAATGGGTACCAGGGATAAAGCAGTTGGGGCGTGAACCTGACCACTCACCCCCAAATAGTGCCAAGGTCAAGAAACTGTGGAGCCATACATCCACTGTCCCACATTCCTTCATGACTTAGTGTTTAATTAATTAATTAAGCACAGGGACTATACCTTTACATGTATATGGCAAAGAATGAGCAAAGATATATAACCAAAATGGCAGGAAGAAAAACCTAGTTCCTTATGAAAGAAACAGACTACACCCACAATTTTACAATATAGCTGAAGTTTCTCCACAGGGAAATGGTCACAGCAGTTTACTCAAGTAATTACAGTCACTGAAAGTAGGCAATGGATGCCCTTCAGAAACTATAAAGCAATACCTGGCTATCGTACACGCTGACAACAATACAGAATAAATTTAATATTTTTGGGCATACTTGATTTGGTCTGTGGTATGAGAGCACGTAACAACAAAACATCAAGAAAAAACTTCCCATGTTCAGGAATGCATCAAGTTCTGACAGCAGTCATTATCAAGAGTTCTATCTTTAAGGACATAAAGCTGTGTACTCTGTTGAAGTCAACCAATGTTGAGCTGAGGAGGAAGTGAAGCAAGAAACCAGCACTGAGTAAAGCATTCGGCTTGTGAAAATGTATGGTTACAAAAAAAGGAAGCTTAGAAGCCAACCCATCAGGTCCTATTGGCTCTAAAAACAGCAAGCCAACATGAGAACAGTGACTAGATTTGCCTCTTGACAGGACTGGTTGGCCCATACAGACACACAAGTGAGAGTAGTTGTAGGTGTGTGGGTTGTATACACATGCACAGTGCAGGAAGGCCAGAAATCTTAGGGTTGATGGTTGCCAAAGAGGATAAGGTTAGTGCACTGACGTGGGCAGTTTGCAGGCATATGTAATGTTTCAAGGAGTTGATAGATTTCCATGACTTGGCCTTTCATGGGCCAAACCTTGTCACTGCTCTCCTGTCTCTTGTAGGTTTCCCTGACTAGCTGACAGGGAACTGATGGGTTGGGGTCCAAGGTTCCAGCTGTTTTATATAATCCTACATTTCTGCAAGCCACATGCTCTGCTCTGCTTGCTCTCTGTTTCATGCTGGTTTCTTACTTGGTTTATTCTTCCACACTGAAGATGGAGGCATACATGTTCCTCTGAAACGTTACACTTATGATGGATGGCATGGTGATATATCCCAGATAACAGAACTGTAGATTACAAGCGGTTTTGTATTTTGTGTTCATACAATATTTCCCAACACTGATCTCACAGATAATATGAAGTAATCTCTATTTCTTTGAAAATGCCTCAAATTAAAAAGAAAACTTTAATGTGGCACATAAACACAATCTGAACACTGAACATTCCTTGGGACAGACACTCATTTCTAAAGTGGCAATCACTATGTACTTTGCAAAAAAGAATGATTATATCCTGACCTACATGACGCTCTGAGTAGGACACAATACCATTTCAACTGACCTCTGACTAGCTCTGACTAACAGATGACATACAAAATATTTTGAGAAAATTTCTATGTTGATGATGGGACTCCATATGATATTTTCAAATTGGCTGTTCTAGGGACACTTAATTCACAATAAATTATAAATAGGCATTAACAGTTGATTTCCTCTTATTCCACTACACAACACCTGACTCACCTGTAAAACTGACTGGATGTAATGAAAATGTACACCCATCATGTTCCATCTGGAAGGACTACAGACCTTCAGTAGTTGCAGCTGCTGAATGGCCTGGAGTTCCCATTACAGCTTCCCAAGTTTTTCCAGCATCTTCAAATGCTTCTATAACGTTACACTGTAATGGTATAAAAAGTTTAAGTAGACAATACCTTTCCATGATTCCATTTCAGGAAGAGTGTGAAGCAAACACCTCTCGCCTTGCCCCTCATGCTGTTTAGAGGCGATAGTAATAAATGCCAAAAACATCCATGTGCACTAGTCAAGCACTATTCCATGAAGTCATATTGGAGGTATAGCTCCACCATTCCTGACCTCAGCAGCAACTAGAGGTGAGTGGTCAGCTTCATGCCATGGCCACTGTACCCCCTGGGAAACTGCCAATGGTACCCACTGAATAGGTGGCTGTGTGGGCCCCAGAACCAGTCTCAGAGTTGTGGAGAAGAGAAAAACGTTTCCCTTGTCAGTATCTGAACCCCAATCATCAAGCCCACAGCTCAATGTTATACTGAATGAGATATCCCACCTCCAATACTCAATAATGAGGTGTGCATAATCAGCCGCACACATCCTGAGTGACTGTGAGGCCATAGCTTATTCCAGAATTCATCATTTCGGTCAGTTTTTACTTTTATGATGTCCCCATAAGCAGGGTCCTGAACTTTATTAAAAGTGTAGGATTAATAAAGGGACAATCCAAGGGCTTCAATAGATCATTGAAGGTCGCAGTGCCCCCAGGGAAAGTCCCTGTACCCATTGGACAGCAGCTGGGAGGGTCACAGGACAAGTCTGGACGCTATGGATAAAATATAAATCTCTTACCCCTACCATCAATCGAACTCCGGCTGTCCAGCCCGCAGCTATGGCCGCTCTGGAACAGCTATATTACACGTGCCCGATTCCTCGGAAAGTTGTGAAATTTCAATTCTATCTGCCTAACTAGCTACACCCACAGACACAACATCTTTCTTACTGGCCCATTGTGTGCCGGTAAAATCAATCATATAGAGACAAGTTTTAGAATATAGACGTTATTTCCATGCCTGAAAGTAGATTATAAATCTAAGTTCCACAAAGTTATAAAATCGATATCTCAGGAGGCACGAATGACTCTATGTTACAACGAAACAATTTTTAAATACATACCGTTAACCACACCGCCGAACACCAACCATCTTCTTCTTATTCCTTCTTATCGTTGCACTTCCGTTTCCCCTATAGGTCCAATTTTGAACCGGAATGTACAACGGTTTGCAACATGGTAATTACACGCAACCTAGTGGAATCTCCCATGAAGTAGACTATTCACCCGCGTGATTAAAACTTTCTTCAACAACTTGCCCTTTACATCCAAAAATTTTGGAAAATATTTCGTGTGCTACGCTGTAGTGTATTACTGACTTAAGGCATGATTTGCTTTCTACTTGTATGATCCTTCTGGAAGCCTAAGGCGACGTACGAGTCCGGCTCGGATTAGTTTCCCCCCCACACAGATTAATTTGGCTCACTGGAACCCAAGCCGAGTCGGACTCGTATGTGTATGGGCCCCCTAAGACAGAGACTAACAACCACTTCGGATTTTGATTAGCTAGACTCACCTAATAATCTTTCCAATGTGACAACTGAAAGTTGAAATTTCTTGCGTGTAACACACAAATCCTTACTATTTGTACAGTTAACTGCACCATTTATGAATAATGCGATGAAGCCAGGACTTGCATCGCGTCCACATAACAATCATTGGATTGGCCAAGTACAATACTAAATATTATTCTGTTCCAGTTACAGTATATTTCTTTGTTATTTCAAGGTGCTTTCATCACCAAGTTTCTGTAGTGTCTTAGGGTAGAACAAAAAATTGGAAAGAAGCAGGCTTACCACAATTGAGGTGCTAACCTACTCATAGCATATTACTCATATTATTATTTTATTATCATAGTATTATTTGTTATTTTGTTCACGCCTCCCGTTATTTGGCTCTTTGCGCGTTTTCTCTTCTTCGTTTACATCTGTTTTCTATATAAATACATTTTTCCTTATTTAGTGCTTACCTCTTATCAAGTACTACCATCATATGTGTATATAGGTTGCAAAATATCTCTGAGTCTGAGCAATGTCGTAGAAAGGGAATTATGTTGAAATGAGAGATAGTAGGAACAAGAGGAGACCTGGAGAGCAGTGACTTTCTTTGAGCTTGCACAGCATAAGTGAGCTATTCCCTGCTCCAATTGTTGCTCCATGTCACAACTGAGATGCTATCCATTTCTTTGTCCTGCACATCTGAGCTTGTCTTCTTCAATACTCCACTTTCCACACCTCGTAAACTGATTGTGATAGAGGTGACTGCATTGTAAGAAGTTGCATTTGTCATGTTACGTGTTCTGCAAATTCTTCACGTGCTCATACGTGCCCCCCAGCCTTCTTCAACCAAACTGTGAAATATTTTTTACATCTTGCATATTATGACCAACATTTCATGATGCATGTGACATTCAACTTATGCTCAGATATTTTCTGTTGGGTTTAAGTCAGGGCAATAGGGTGGCAGTGTTTTGGGCCCGTAACTTTCCACTATTTTATTTACTGAGTATAGTGCACTTTATGTGGGTTCTAATGCTTAATGAACTGATGCAATGTAGGTTTCAGCATGTCATCATCCAGTGGGATTCTCTTTTTTGTAACCACTGTTCTATTTTCTTCTTGGTACAGCTGGACATGAAAGGCAAAGTCCTGTGCTTAATTAAATAAGCAGAATTAACCCAAAATCCCTGTGAAAATGGTTATAAGATAGGCAGGAATGAAGCTAGGTAAAGATACAGTAAAGTTGTCCCTCTGTTCAACTACTTAAGCCCTACACCATGAAGGTGTAGGGGGAATGGATGTATAGATAAAAATTCGTGACCTCAGCACCAGTTTGAGGTGAGTGGTCCGCTTCACACCCCGGCTGTTTACACCTGAGGAAAGAGCCCCTGTTATCCATTGGACAGGAGGCTGGGTAGGCCCTAGAGCCATTTTGGATGGTGTGGAGAAGAGAAAATTCTTGACCCTACCAGGACTCGAATTCCAACTACACAGACATCCAGCCTGTAGCCAGTCACTATACCAACTACGCTATCCTGGCTTCCCAGGACAAAGCTAGAGTTTTGGAAATTGAAAGTAACAACAGGTATAGGAAATACAAAGAAATGAGCTCATATGGTATGTGTAATAAATCTGATCAGCCAAACCATTTTGGATATTTCTTCATTATGAACTCCCCTTGTCAGGAATATGATTAGTAACTCACAAGGAAAGTTGGTATAAAATCACAGACTCCTCATGTGTATATGATTTTAGTTTCAGCATTCAATTTTTGTCCCATAGATGAGGATAGCAGTAGATATATATTGTTACAATGTGAAAATCTTTCATGGCTGGACTAAATTTTGCAAGTTGCTCTGCTTGGGACAAGAAATTTCCACTGTTGGGCACATAAAGGTGCCCATGGTGACCATTAAAAGGCTGATGATTTTCCAACCAACATTTGAACAATAGTAAATAAACAATCAAGCAATGAATGCCAGTGTCCCTTTTCATTTTCAATCGATCTCAGATGAGAACTGTCGATAGTAGCATTTGCATTCAAGTGGACTATAGGAGTCCTCCATTTCTGCATGCAGTTAACATGATCTGGAGACATTATCATGCTCTTTTAATTTTGGCCTTTATTTCTACAATCTGAGCAATCCCAACCAGATTATAGCAAAGTTTTTAAGTTGGAAAATAGCTTGCAATAAAAGCAAAATACTGTATTATTTTCAATATAATATACAAGCTAACATCTGGAAACTTTTTCGCCATTACGAAGACTTCTTATAATATAATAGACAACATTAAAATAGTGACCAGTTTCATCGGCAGATAAATAAAATACTTAATGTGAGTTAATCCTTTTTCAGTCAGGTTGACCCTTACTTGCTCACTCTGGCCATAATGCTGGATCATCCAAAACTAAAGCAATACTACTGCTCAATGCTTGCTGCTGATCAGTATTAAATTTAGGATGTAAATCAACAGCAGATGAAACTGATGACTCCGAAGACTTGAGACAATAGGTCAGACTGGTCAAATTTTCTGCTGCAGTTTCAAGCAAATGGTCTTGGACAGACAGGTGTAGCACCCACACTTTCTTCCACATCTTTTCCAGGTTGTGCTGAGGCAGCAAGAAAGCTTGTCAACTGTTTAATTTTCTTAATCTCAGAGGCAAGGGTCTTCTTTTTTATAGGGGGGTCTTTTTATAATTTGTGATACCCATTTTTTCCCTCTATGTTTATTATTATCCTTCATTAAACCTAAAAAAATATATTTTGAAAGGCAGAGATTAATGAAACAAAGCAAAAGGGGAAAAAAAGTTTAGTGTCAAAAACTTGGTTACATCAAAAGTTACATGCATAGAAGTGAAACAAAAATTATGTCCAAATGTTATCCTAAAATGTTTTCCTACTTCAATCTCTGTTGTATCAGAAGGCACATTTTTGTGAGTGATTCAGGCCCTGAAGCAAAATCTTAGGTTGCCTATGTTTAAAACAGCCACTGCTTGTGGCACTATGCTACAAGCCGGAAGGTCGCGGGTTCAAGTCCTGATGAGGTAATTGGACTTTTTCAATTGAACTAATACTTCCAGCCGCACTATGGGCCCTGGGGTTCACTCAGCCTCTAACAGAAATGAGTACCAGGAATTAATTAAATAATTTTCCTGGGGAGTAAAGCATGGCCCAGGCCTAAGGACACCAGGTGTATACAGTATCCCATGCGAGTGCGGGAAGGTCTATATTGGGCAGACAGGCCGCTCCGTGGACATGAGGTTGAAGGAGCATCAGTGGCACATCCGTCTCGAACAACCGAACAAGTCGGCCGTAGCTCAACACAGCATCGATCTGGGACACCGAATTCAGCTTCAGAATACCTCCATCCTCACCACCAAGACCCGCTATATGGATCGCATTATTAGGGAGGCTATTGAGATTGAACTGCATCCAGGAAATATGAACAGAGAGGGGGGGGGGGTTTGTCTCAGCAAGTCTTGGAAACCTCTCATCTGTTCTCTTAAAAAACCCCCACCGGGATATGACGCCAGATCCAGGCCACACAGGCCATGACCAACCAACATAACAACCCCCACCCCTCAGCTCACGGGTGGTGCCCAGCCTTCAACCCCGCCATTCTCTCCCCTACACAAAAACCCTGCTTGTCCCAGCTCTCTTCCCCTACCCCTCCCGCACTACTGCTTTCACTTGTATACTTGCCCTTCCCCCTTCTCCCTCGCTGCTCTCACATAGCTGTGTATTTTTCCACAGCCTGTTTTTACCGGTTCTCACAGTCTCTTTGCTTGCAGATTTCTTATATATTTTTTCTTCTACCCTGAAGATGGAGGCGATACGTTCCTCCGAAACGTCGGTTAACACCACATATACACGGTGCCAAATCCCAGAAGACTGCTTTCTTCAGGGGTGGCCTTACTTTTTTTTTTTTCCACTGGCTAGCAGCATTTGCAGGCGAGTAGCGCAACAGCTTGGGAAGGCACAGAACTTACCATAATTGACACTTTATCTATACATACACTGTTTGAACAATAACAATACCTCATTAATTCTTTCTCTTTTTTCCTAGTTAGTACTCAGGAGGGTGTTTGGGGCATTTGCAAACTATGACTTGTGTCTCAAGAGTGTACCTACTTGCTGAATTTGGAAAAACAGTGTGGCACTATGAGAATACAAGGATAAAGGCTGTTGCTAAGTTACCAATGTTGCTACTCTATTAAAACTGGACTAGATGGTTATGCCAAATCATATCCCACACACCTCCTTACTAGCATAACTAGTTTCTTGGGCAATGAAAACTGTAAAAATATTGTAAAATACTTCCCTCCTAATGGAATCATAGCCTTTCTTGAAGTCTACAAATAGCTGATGTACTGTCTCATTGTACTTCCATTTTTTCTCCAATATCTGACAAATGCAAAATATCTAATCAGTAGTTGATGTTACATTGCAACCCAAACTGATGATCCTTAATAATTTCATCTATACAAGGACTTAACCTTGAGAGGATATTAGATACAATTTTGTATGAAATTGATAGCAGTGATATCCCACAATAATTACTGGTCATTTTTACAGCCCTTCTTGTGAATTTGTGCAAGACTAGACTCCTCCCAAAGATCAGGCAATTGTTTTGTATTCCTAATAG